CCAAGTACATATAAAACTATAGCTAGTACTATAATTAAAACGAGCATTTAGTGGGTCTACTTGGAACCCGAACCCCGATCTAAGATACAAGTGCCTAGTGCCTCCCTCGGTGATCGACTCCGTAGAGAAGTAGGTCATAGTACTTTATTTATCTATACCACAAGAAACTATGTGAGTGACAGTTCAATAATTTAACGGATATATATGATGCATGTTCATGTATATGCGAGTCTAAAATACTCGTTTTATGCAAAGTAAATCCTTGTTCCTCATGTTATAAAACATAAAATTATCCGAAAATCCTTTTTTTGCCTATGGACATGTCCCATTTAGGTACTTTAGAGTTTCTATAATATATGTCCGACTAACCGGACTCATCCACGAAAGTGCCCTACACGGCCTCTAAAAATGCACGTTTACACTTGCCCTATCCCGAACCATTACCATCACAAGTATAGAAAACCTATGAAGTCCTTTCTTTAAAACCCGAAAGTCATGAAAATCTTTTTCTTTAAAATAATTTTCGATCACTATCCAAAAACCATAATATAAAATGCATTTTCATGACTTAAAACATTGTCCATGAGCTAAGCATGCATATGCATTTGTAATGAACCAAGTATGCTATAGGAATTCATGGACACATACCTTAAATGGGCATGTAACTCAATCATAGGAATTAATATAAAATTGGGCGACATAACGGCATAGTTAACAACGAACCCACATAAACCAAGTACAACCATCACTAGCATGTCAATTATCATAAACATAATTCTCAACACCAGATCATCATAACCATTATCCATAATTCAATGCATCAAATATATTATTTGAAAGAGAGTACAATCATGACATAAAGAGTAAGTAAACAATTATATTTCATTTTTTTTCATTAAGCTTATTTTGCACTTTAATCTTCCTACATTATTTGCTTAGGTTCCTAACCATTCTTTCACATTTATTCTTTTCCAAATTGAGTGCTAATTCATTTCCTAACCTAGTTAGGTATTCTTTCATTGATCGGGGTTGGAATGTCGACTTGGGCCTTAATGGTCCTAAAGCCAAATTTTTCCTAACTCAATTTTTCTTTAGACTTTCATGAAACATTTTATTCTAACCCATCCTTATACATTATTTTGGGCTTGAATTACCCGAGTTTTAGGTTTAGAACTTGATTTAAACCTAACTCCTCAAAGTTCCTATTTAGGCCTAAACTTGACCTCTTTAAAATCCTAATATTTTCTCCTCATTTTGTCCTATTGTTTTAACACTAAGTAGCCTAAATATGTGCTAACTATAAGAATCAATTTAAATAAAATTTGGGACCCGAAATCCTACCCAAACCCATATTGGGCCTTAATGGGCCGAATTGGGCCCAAGCCCACAAAACCTATTTTCTTCAATTTTTGACTAATTTTCCACTTTCACTCATCAAAACATACTTATTAAAGTGTGTGTGACCCATCAAACCAGAATCAAATGGCTTGGAACTCAAACTCTAATTTTCTTAGTTTAGGTCGAATATAATCCCCTTGAGTTAGTGAATTTTTCTTCAATTAATCTAAAATCTTTCATTCTAAATCACTAATTCAAACCTAAATAAGCCATAATCACATCCTAAAACACCAATTGCATGGAAGAATTAAAAACTCCTAATTTTAACATTTGGGCCAAATGATAACAAGGAAAGATCCCTAAGAAATTTTGAGTTTTAATCCTCAATTTCAATTCTAATCAACCTATTTCAATCCCAATTTCATGATTTTCAAGTCAAAATTCGTTTTTCCCAAATTAGGTCAACAAAAACCCTAACCCTAATTTTTTTCCAATTTATGCAATTAATCAAATCAAAGAAATTAAATATAAAATTAGCATGAAATCAAGCTTGCTTGTGGTGTAGATAAAGTTAACTTACTTTTTTGAGCTCTAATTAAACCTTAAAAAGCTAGGTTGTTGAAGAATTTCTCTTCCTCCTCTTTTCCTCTAAATTTTTTAATTTGATCTTCGAATTTTTCCCTTGAGAGTTTTGGCTTCTCACTTAAAATTCAAGCTTCTTCCACTGATTAGAGGTTCCTAGAATTTATTTTAAATGTTTTTGGTGATTTTTAAGTGAAAATTTTGTAAAATTTTTGTTTGGGTTTTTCTATTTTCTTGCCATTTTTAGTTTTTCTAGCAACCCTATTTATAGGGAGAGTTTGTGGACTTTTTGACTTGACCTCAACCCTTAATTTGGGTGAATCTCAACCCTTAATTCATTTTCTAATTATTCATTTGCATTTGTCCCAATTTTTAGTCATTTATTCACCTTTTTATTTAACCTCGCCACCTTTGACCAAACTTTTTACCTGCAGTCGGCCTCATTAATTGCCTCCAACTGGCCAAATTTGGGAGAAAAATGACAAGTTTTGGTCATCTAAGTTTCTAAACTCGTTCCATAGCCTATTCTTTCCTAAATTTCTCTTCTATGCAAATATCTCTCCTAGCTTTTAATAATTATTTATCATTCTCAAGATATTTTCACATAGGTTTTAAAATTAAATTTTTATTAAATTTCTATTTTAGTGGATACTAGGCATTACGGATCGTCTCATACTCATAAAGAGAAAAGGTTGAGATAGAGAGAAAAAGATCTAAGGATGGTGAATGAAGCTAGGGTAAAATAAAAACTATGAAAAAAAGGGTAACTTTTTTGAAGAATGTCTAGTTTTTTTCTAAAGAGAGAAAGAGAGAGAGAGCAAGTGAGAAAAGAGAGAAAGACAAAACAAAAAGAAAGAGCTTAGTGTCAAATAAAAGGAGAGAAAAGTGAAAAAAGAAAAGAAAAGAAAACACCATCCAAGATCTCGACAAGGGAAATTTAGCCTCTCTTTTGCTGAGAGCTCAAAGGATGATGTTGAAGATAATTTTAGAGTAGTTACTAGTCGGTGATGGGTAGAGGAGGTGCTTGGACATTTTGTTGGAGAAGAAATCCGATGAATGTCACTAGATTTTAAACAAATCTTAGAAGGAGTGATCTCGGGTTGAGTTTTTAGGAGGTTTTGATCGAAACCAAACCGAGTCAAAGCTAGGGAGATGGTGATTTACTTTGTGGAGGTTCGCTTGTAGGGGTGAGCAAAATTCAATAAAAACCAAACCGAATCGAATCGAAATATCAATTTCAGTTCAATTTTGAACTAAAGTTTATGAAAATAAAAACTGAATTGAAAAACCAAAATTATTTTGGTTTGGTTCAATTTTTGAAAAAAAAAATGGATTTAAATCAAAAATTGAAAATTTTAAAAGACCAAACTAAAAAACCCCTATAACTCCGAGTGACTAACGAGTAAGTGCTAAATCCTAACCATAACTTCCTAAGTCACCAACTCTTTGTTCATTTTTAATTCTCGGTCGTACGTCCGTACCCCATCCTTCTCTTTCTTCTACCTTAGCAACACAACCACCAAACCACCCGAGTTGTTGCCGATCACCACCCACCTCTCGTCCTCCCTTTTTGATCTCACAATCGCCGATTATCGCCCACCACACACTATCCTCCTCTTACTACTCTTCCTCAACTCGCGAGCTCTCCAAAGGTTAGTCTTTTTTACACTTTTTTTCTTTTATTCCTTAATTTTAAGAGATGTTGAATTAAACCATGACAAAATTTATTGAGTGTTAGTGGTTTGGAGGGTTCAAATGCAAGTTCTCGAATTTTGACCAGATTAGGAGGTGGGATTAGGGCTAATGGGTTTAAAAGTAAAGAATTTGTGCAAAAAAATGAGGAAAATTAAATAAAAGATAGAAAATGCTTTTCTTAAGTTTTAAATATATGTAGTAGTACTTCCATTGTAAGTTTAGGGTGAAAATATTTGCTTGTTTTTATATAATTTTGTGACCTTTTTAATCTTTAATTTCTTTGGATGAATAATGAGTAGCTAAGGAACTAAATTTGTAAAATTTTTCCTTATAAAGATGATCTTTTTCATGTTTATGTTTCAACTTTGAATGAATCTTGGATCAATTAAAGCTTCGAGAGAGCGAGTCAATCTTATTTATATTGTTTGAATTTGGTTAGGTGATACCATTTTCTATTTATTAGAAGGATTGATATAAGTAGTTTAGTTGAAAATACTCTTAGAGTTCAACTAATCAAGTTTTAAACCATTTCAATTTGCAATTCCTTTAATTTTGAGTTAATCGGGTTCTAGTCTAACAGTTTAATTGAATTAAGTTTGTGACCTTAAAGGTGACAACTAACTCAGCATATCTTAAGGAAAAAAAAAAAGAAGAAGCTTTTAATAGCATTTGAATAGTCTTGTATTTCTAGTTCTCTACTTTCAATATTCTTGTGTTTTTATAACTATACACTTGCAATTTTTTCTCATGTAGATTATAATTTGTTTATTCCTTTATTTGCGAGCCGATATGGATGAAATTAACAAAAATCTAATTTTACCGCAATCAATTTAAGTACCTTATCATCGGATATTTTGTTATATTAATTTTTTAAGTTGATAGATTATTTGGTTTAATAGATGTGTTTTTTTTTTTTAATGAGGAATGCCAAGATTTGAAAGTTAATGGTTATTTTTGTGAAGATTGGCGAGAGAAGAATATGTTTTGTATTATGCATGTTCGTTGTTTTCGTGTGATTTGTACACACACACACATATATAGGCATAAGACTTTTAGCTATGCTAAACCTTCCATCCAGCTATGCTAGACTTATATGCTAGACTTTTAGTGTTTATTATGTACGTGATAGTTATCTTTCCAATATTTGATGCTATCCTAACACCCCTTTCAAGTCCTTGTTGGGTTGAGGCGATAGATATAGCTTTCCCGTGAAGTATTGATGGCGTCGAACGACGAGAGGCTTGGTCGGTATGTTCGCGATCTACTCATTTGTGGATAAAAACCCGATCCGCACTTTACCGAAGCAACCAATTCTTTAACAAAGTGACGATCCAGTCTCAATGTGCTTTGTGTGAGCATGAAACTTGGGGTTTGCAAACGGATAAATGGCCCTCGGGTTGTCACACTATAGCATAGCAGGCTGGTTGCATGGATACCCGAGTTTAGTGAGTAGAGACCTTAGCCGGACAAGTTCGCTGCTCGTGTTTACGATGGCTTTGTATTCACTCTCGATTGAAGACTCGACGATGGTAAGTCGTTTCTTGCGGACCATGACACAAGGTTGCATCCCAAGTAAATAGCATATTCATTGGTGGAGCATCTATCATCCGGGCGACCAGCCCAGTCGCTATCGAGTAGCGAATGGAGTTGTAGATCCGAAGTGTCGTCGAAGAACAAACCGATGGATGGTGTGTGACACAAGTATCGCATAACCGCTTTAGTGTCTTTCGAGTGTGCATTAGTAGGTGTGTGCATGAACCGATAGAGTTTATTAACGATAAAGGAAATATCCGGTCTCGTTATTGTTAAGTACTCGGAGTCCACCAATTAGTTGTCCGTATGCTTCACCATTTTCAAGTTGTGTGCCTTGGCTTTTGGATAAGGTTGGGAGACGACCATAAGAGTGAGGCACTCATTTGAATCTTTCATGCCCGACTTCTTTAGCATATCTTCTATGTATTTTCGTTGCATTAAAAGTGTGCCATGTGATAATTTGTGAACCTCAATTCCCAGAAGTAGTGCAGGTTGCCTAGGTCACGGATTGAAAATTCCGAGTGAAGTTTATCAATTATGGCTTCCATCACGTGAGAGCTAGATCTTATAATAATAAGATCATCAACATAGACAAGTATAAAAAGTTTGTTAGCTCCAAGTATGGTGAATGAATAAAGAACTATCGGCTATGGATGCTTGAAATCCATTTGTTTTTAGGAAGGTACTCAACCTACTCGAATCATGCTCGAGGGCTTGTTTTAAGCCATAGAGAGATCGATGTAGGAGGCAAACATGGTCGGTATGGCTAGCAACAATGTGTCCTTATGGTTGTTCCATATATACTTCTTCCGTTAAATGCCTATGAAGGAAGGCATTGGAAATGTCTAATTGGCGCAGAGACCAACCATGCATCATGGCTATATAGAGAGGATGGTCCCGATAGTTGTGGCTTTAATGACTCGGATTAAATGTCTCGGTATAATCAACTCCCGATTGGTAATTGTACCCTTTTACAACTAGTCTTACTTTGTACCTTTCAATGGCACCATTGGGTGTTCTTTTTATGCGAGATACCCACTTGTTTCCTACCACGTTCGATGCAATGGCCATGGAACTAAGGTTCATGTTTTATTGGATATCGGTGCGGTGATCTCATCACTCATAGAATGTCGCCATTTCATATAGTTTTTGGCTTGAGAGTAGGAATTAGGTTGTGTATAGGTAGTTTATGATCTTGGGATTGATGAGGATGGCATGGGCTAGTTTACGAAGCTTGGGATTTGGTCGTAGCTTCATGGGATGGGTCCGAATGGGATTGGGATTTGTTATTTGTGTGTTGTTTTGGGCGGTGGTATATTTTGTGAGGTCAACCGTGAGTCTGTAGATCGGGTGTGGCATGGGATGAAGTGGAGGGAGGTTGATGGTGTGGTACTGGAGATAAAGTGGATTTGTTTGAGGTGGTGGCTGTGAATTAGGAAGGTTCGTTGTTGTGTAAGAAAGGACGAAAGTGTACTCGAAGGTGGAAGACCCGTGTGATGTGGCAAGCTGGTTGTAACTTGAAGTCATTGTTGCTTATCATGATCGACTTCTATGTGCTTGTTCCTATTTACAATGGCAAAGGGAAATAATTGTTCATTGAATTTTATGTGACGTGCGGTGTAGACACGACCGGATTGAATATCCAAACAGCGATATCCATGATGGATGGGTGAGAGGCCAAGATTAACACACTCGTAGTGCGATTTAAAAATTTATGAGTGTTATAGGTTCGAAGAAGTGGGTAAATGACACGACCAAAAACTTTTAGAGATGCGACGAGATGGTAGTTTTGCAAACAATTTTTGGTATGGACAATGATTTTGAATGACGGGGCTTGGAAGTTGGTTGATGAGTGATATTGCTCGTATCAAAGGCATAATTTCAATACTTTACAGGAATAAAAGCATGGGCTAGGAGAATAAGACCGAGGTCAACTAAATATCGAATTTTCCTTTATGAAATTTCATTTTGTTCGTGAGTATATGGACAAGAAATTCTATGAATGATTCCAAGAGTTTTAAAGTGTCTATTTAATTTTTGATACTCACCACCCTAATCGAATGAAAAGCTAAAATTTTTGAATTAAATTGACGCTCAACGTATGCATTGAAATGCTGAAAACTGGAAACGACATCACTCTTGTTGTTTAGAAAATAAATCCGGGTATACTTGGTGAATTTATCAATAAATAACAAACAATACTTATGACCTAAGAAGGATAAAATTAGGGCGGGACCCCATACATCGAGTAAATTATTTGAAAGGGTCTAGTGCTCTTATGTTCAACGGAGGCAAGCGGAATGCGAGCTAACTTGCCAAGATGACGGGAGGAGCACTTAAAGGAAGGTGATGGAGTTGATGTTATTTGGTTGGCTTTGAGAACTTTATGGATCGTACGGAGCCGAGGATGTCCCATGCGTGCATGCCACCGTTCCAAGGAGAAGACCTCACCATGACAAGCAATTTTTAGTTCTGCAGTTCCACCATCCATGGGATACAAGCCACGCTCACTCGGGCCTTTGAATAGGGTGGCCTTGGTCACCCGATCCTTAATAAGAAAGTATTTAGGCCAAAATTCAAGGTAGCAATTATTGTCAATTGTGAATTTGTTAATGGACAACGAGTGGTTTTGATATTTGTGGTACTTGGAGAACATTTTTTAACAAAAATTTGGTGTTGGGTGTGTGGATATAAGACATACCGGAGCGAGAGATGTGCAAACCTTGGCCATTGGCAACGGTGAGCCGGTCGAGCCTTTGTAATCGTGTGCAATATTCATGGTAGAGAGATCTAGAGTGACGTGGTGGGAGGCTCCGGTATCAAGATGCTATGTCCGAGAAGGACTACTTGCAGCATGAAGTGCGATGCTAGAGTTATATGCATGAGGTAGAGAGTGATTTTCATATGGTGATTGCGGGGTAGATACAAATGGGGAGACCATTATGTTTGTGCTAAACACTCGTATTTGCTTATGGATGAAGAGATGGACGAGGGGAATAGCGACGATGACATCGATCGAGCGGTGTGGTTTCGCAAACCATAAATTTGGCATGGTCCCTTGTTTCGCGGTAAGTGTTGTTGTTTGTTTGCATGGTTTTGGGAAAGGGTGATGAAAAAGGCGTAGGCGAGTGGAGGGCTGGTTCCGATTTGCGAGGTGAGCCATGGGACTCTCATAAGTCCCTCGAGGAGAATTTCTTGAGCCACCAAGTGGCCACGTAGTTCATGAAAAGAGACCGGTTTTGGACGCAGATCGAGAGCGATGATGATGCTATGATATTCGGTTCCGATGTTGCGATAAATAATTGCATTGAACTCCATTGGTGTCATTCTACGGCCGGATGTGGCCAACTCCTCGCCTAGTGACTTTGCCCTTCCAAGATAGTCGATCACGGAGAGGTCGTTTTTTTAAGTTCCTGTAATGCAATGTTGAGCTAGAGTTGGCGATTGTGAGAGATGGAGCCAAAGGCGTTGGCCAAAGTAGTCTAGACTTAGAAGGAAGAAGTGAGATCGATAACATAAGAGAACATATCCTCGGTGAGAGAAGAAAGTAGCCATGAGTGCGGCATTTGGTCCTTTTGGAACTAGATGTGATAGGTAGGATTAGGGGAGGTAACTATTAGATCGTCGGAGGAAGATATTATTTTGGGTGGGGCGACGGTAGTGCCATCAATGTATCCGAGTTAAATTTTGGTAGTTGAGGAGGGGAAGAAATTATGCTTTCCATGCTAGGTAATTTGTAGCAGCTTAACTTGACGAGAGAAGGTGTGATGAGCATTAGAGGGGGAGGATGATGCGCGTGAAGCTGGAACTATTTGGGAAGAGGAGGTCATGTTGGAGTGTGGGGAATATAAAAAGGCTAAACGAAAAAGAAAAGAAAATTTACGAGTGGATCGTAGCTTAAGCTTTTGATACCATGTGAAGATTGGTAGAGAAGAATATGTTTTGTATTGTGCATGCTACTTGTTTTCGTGTGATTTGTACACACACACACACACACACACACATATATATAGGCATAAGACTTTTAGCTATGCTAGACTTCTAAGCTAGACCTTCCATCTAGCTATGCTAGACTTATATGCTAGACTTCTAGTGTTTATTATGTACGTGATAGTTATCTTAATAGTATGATAACTATCACGAGTGTAGTATTTGATGCTATCCTAACAATTTTAATAGATGCTTGATGTATTTTTATTATGGATTTTGGATTGTAATTTTTATTTTGGATTATATTTTTATCATGGGTACTAAAAAGCCTAAAATGATAATATGTTAGGGAATGATCTTAAAAATAAAACCGAAATGTTGAAAATCAAGGCCTCAAAGTACCCGACCCATAAGAAAAATTCAGAAATAAAAAAAGGAAATTTGAAAAAAAATAGATTTAAATCGAAAACCGAAATCGAAATTTTGATTTTGAATCCGAAAAATCAAATTTTAATTTGGTTCGATTTTGGTTTTTGTATTTAGGGGTTCAATTAATAGAAAACCGAATCGAAATTATTCGAAATCAAAAAACCATTTACCCACCCCTATTCACTTGTGGGTTCTTGGTTGCTTAAGTGTTAGAATCCAACGGGTTAGGTCGAAGAGAAAGAAAGAGAGAGAGAGATACCTTTTTTCTACATTTTTTTGTTTGCCCCTCCCGACCTTTTTTTTTTTTATATTAAATGAATTTGTTTATGGGTTCATCCTTATCTTTTGTGAGGATCTTTATTAAAATAATATGATTCTTTCTTATCTCTTATGAGATCTATATGTGGACATAGGTTCATGTCCTTATCAAAGGAATATTTGTGTTTGAATTAACCCCTAAGTTGGATTACACTATCTAAGATAGCTTGAATAACGAAAAATAAAATGAGGATATGATAGTAAATTTACTATATTTATTTCTTTTCTCCTTTTTCTCTTTTTACTTTCGATTTTTATGCTCTCTTTTTTCTTTTCTCAAATTTTTAATTCTCTCTTTTTTATGCTTTAATTTTTCACGACATTCATGATTTTGTTGATGCTTGATTTTTCACGACACTCACTTTTATTTGCTCTCTTTTTTTTCTTTCTTACTCAAAACTTATAAAAATATTAAAAATCACAAAAACACCTAAAAGTCTAAAATTATGAAACAGGAAAATCATATAAAAATAATTTTTTTTGGACTTTTGAAGAATTTTTATGAAAATTAGGTGGTTAAATTTAATTATAACATGGCCAATATCACCAAATACACCATCTTAGATTTTTTTTTCTAAGAAAATTTATCAATATATCAAATTATTTTTCTTAAATAATTTATCAATTTACTAAGACAATTTATTTTGTGATATAAGTCCTAAATGAATATAAAAAATCATCTCATAAATAAATAAATAAATTAATAACATCATATCCACATGCATAGTATAATCGAGATATAAGTCAACTATTTGATTAATTAGACAAATTTAGATACGACAATGGTTTATCAAATATTTAAGAAACATAAGGATTAATAAACCAAATTAAAAATAATATGGGTAAAAATGAGTATTTGATACAAACACAAGGGTAAATTTAAGGGACCAATATTTAAAGATAAAATAGTAAATTTGCTCACATTCCTTGAGAATTCCCAATAATAAATCAAACACAACAAATACACATTGCTAATAATTTTTTTCTCAATAAAATACAAATATCACATTTTCAACAATTACGTCATAACAAGGCATAAAAACCCGTGTATTCATGCAAATCCAAAGAACATGTAGGGCCCATTGTGGAGCTTGAATAACAAAAGTAAATACAACTTAATTGGTTGAGGATTCTATCCCCACTCGACTACTTGTCACTCATATTAGAGGGCCACGTGACCTGTCGTTCGCAGTACCGGCCAACTGCCCAATATTCCAAGATGATCGCAGACGGTTCTTCTCTTCGCTCTTTAAAGAGAAAAAGACTCCCCACGTCTGTTGATTGTACGGACCCTGAAGCTGCAGCAGCTGAGGTTCTTTTTCTTTATGATGATTTTTGCTCTTTGACTTTAACTTGATACCGTTCTTCTACTTGCATTGTTTCTTGATTTTTAAAAGTAATCGGTGCCTTTTCATTTGTAAGTGCAAAATTTCTTATTGAATTTGACTCTTGTCAGTAGCAGAACATGATGCTAGACTGATAAGAACATTATTTCTGATTCTCTTATTGAATTTTATTTTTTCTTTTTTAACAGAGACGACTGATAGCTTCTATCAGTTCAATACAGAGGAGTATCAAAAAATTCTGGCCACAAGGAAGGAAGGTAATATACCTAATTGACTAGATTATACAAGTAATAGAGAGAATGAAAATCTTAGCTAGTCCTCTTAGACACACTGCAACAGATTTTGGAAAGGATCAGTCCATGTTCTATTGATATATCATTTGTTTTTTCACTTGTGCATATCTGATTTCATTGATGGATGAGTTATACCTTTTTGGAATCTGTTCAGTGAATTTCATATCTAGTTGTTGCATATGCTGTTTAATGGGAAACATTATTCTGATTCATCCATCAATTTATTTTAATATACAAAATGCAAATGTGAACAGAGAATTTTTTTCAAGAAGCAGAAGAATCAGCTCGCGGCTCAAGAATAAGAAAGGTTCTTGCTGGACTTTTTCTGCGAATTCTTCGTTTCCTGTCTTGAGATCTCCACTCTTTGTCAATTCAAGTGATATTTCATGCATAATGTACTCCAGATTTTAGTCTAGTTTGGTTAAGGTTTAACTTTAACCTTATCAATTGCTCATGTATTTAGGTCGTGATTAGGGTTCGCTTTCCTGATAATCACATTAGAATTTGTATAACTAGAAATTGCATTTGGCCTTTGCTCAGCAACCGTTATCATTATACTTGTTGGCTTTTGATGATCATACCTTTGTCCCAGCTGGCTGGTAGTAGTAGCGTTGATTAAGCTGATCACGCTTCGAATGTCTGCTTATATGGATGTTGATCCTTAAGGGCTATGTCTCTTTCCACTCTTTTTATGGTGCATAATGCTGTTTTCCTTTAGCTTGTTTTCAGGGGATTAATGTATTAATAACATAACTAATGAAGGCTGTTTCTTGACTTTTTCTTGACATGTCATGTTTTAATTTCCAAGAATATCTGTGCACTTTTGAAAGTTGAATGCGTGCTCTGGTATAATATTTGAACAATATAGACGAAGGCATATATATGCATCCCGTATTCACCGTGCTATGTAGCTATAGTTTTTTCCATCGTCTGTTCATTATATGGTAGTGCAAATTCTGTAGTAATATCAATCTTTTCCAATGTTATATTAGGAGACGATACTGCAGCTATCTGTTCGGGCCCTTTTCTCCGAGAAGAAATTATGGCTTTGAAAGGTTTGAAGGTCATTTCTGAATCAGCAGAACCTGTAACAGAAACTCTTTCCCCTTTTCCTCAAGAGCCCAAGCCTGCCGAAAGAAACTCCTTTTTAAGGCGGAAAACATGATGCAATAACAAATTCTGCTCAGTGAGCTCTTCGTTCCCCTGCCTTTTCCTTCATTTTTTTACATTGAAATTCTCCCTCCCAATATAATGATTCATTCTAAATCCCATTCTGTCTTTGTCGCAGATGAAGATCCAAATTGCGGCCTCAACGCTCTTGCAATCCAAAACAGGATTGTTTGTTACATTAACTAGAAAGCTATTCGAAACTGACCTTGGTTAAAAGCTATTCAAAACTTTGGGGAGAGAGAGAGTGTGTGTGCGTGTTGGTAACAAAATTCGGTGGCATGGTTTTGCATGGCTTGAGCAGTACTCTAGGCTATTAAGGCATGATGGGCTTGAGAGAGGCTTTACCCGTCCAGGTGGACTAGCATATATCCTGCTTCTGCTTCTTGTCGCAGGATGAACCATATAGCATTCTCACATGTTGGCTTCATCACTCCTTTTATAATATTTTGTAATAATCAAGGAGTAATTAATGCACATATATAATAGTTATTTTATATATTTATTTTTGAGGAGAGAGATAGACACATGAAAAAGAGAAAATTACATATGGATCTACTAAAAGTGATAAGAAGATTTTCACATTTGATCAAATCTTTTTTCTCTCTCTCATATTTCTCTGTTTTTTTGTGTTTATCTCTTTATATGGAATAACTTATACTAGTTACTCCTTAAGTATCATAAAATTTCTCCTCGCATATTCACCTATATAAAATACATAGTTTAAAATAATTATTTAAAAGGATCACAAAAAAAAAATTCAAAAAATAGAGGAACCAAAACATATATTTTGTGTATTGTTGTGGGATTAACCAAAAGAAAAGCCTATAAGGTTGAGTAATATAATATTGTTAATTAGATATTGTTATATACAAATGTGTATTTTATTAAAAATATGTATAGTAACTAGTAATTAAAATAATATTGTGGAGTTTATTTGAATTTTAAATGATTAATTTTCATTTATACATTTTTTATTTGTAGTTTGTTAATGAGATAGAAGACTATCCAAAAAAATATATATATATATATACCAAATCGGGATTTCTTCAAAATTCATTTGGCAAACGATAGAACATAAATTATACATGATAAAATTTAAATGATCAAAATAAAGTAAAGATGATAAAATAAAGATAAAAAAAAATTTCATTAAAAGCCAAAAATAGCTTATGAACAATAATACCAAAAAAAATATTCATTATGCGGAAGACAAGACCAAAAATCAAATATAATAAAACTTTAATGATTAAAATAAAGAAAAATTATAAAATATGAATCAAAATGGAAAAAGAAAAATTTTCTTGAAAAAAAAACAACAACAAAAAGCTTATGATGGTGAGATTGTACTTAGTTTTAGTGTAGCAAGGATAAGATTCAAACATGATAAAAATTTAATGATCAAAATAAAAAAATTACAAAATTAGAAACAAAATAGAATGAAAAGTTTTACTAAAAAAAAAAGTGTTCCTTATTGAGATAAAAATCAAATATAATAAAACTTCAATGACTGAAAAAAAGATTACAAACGGGGACTAGAACAAAAAAAATTACTAAAACCCAAGATGGGGGCTTAGCTACAATAAAAGTCTATCTTGTTTTAGTTTAGTACAAGTCGGATAGAATATATAAAATTATTTTAAGTTGAAGATTTGCGCTACTATCGTAAATCCACTAAAATATATTAAAACATAGATTTTAAAAAAATCCATTTAGTTTTATTATTTTTTTAATTAAAATTTTGCATTTCACTAATTATTTATTATATTTTTCATAAATTGTTTGAAAAAATAATTTATTTTTATTTATTCGATTCTTAACTAAAAACATATGATAATTTAAAAATAAAATCTAAAACTCCATAGATTTTTAACAAAAAAATTATTTTGTAAATTATTTTTTTTTCAAAAAATCTAATACAAATTCTCAAAAAAATACTTTTTAACTTTTAGATTATATATACATTGTCATTTAAAAATTCTAAGAGACCATCACATGAATTATATAAATTTATTTTTTAAAAAAATAATCACGTTTTGAAATTTTATTTAAAAATCTATACATAGAGAATAATAAATCGTGTTTATCAATAAATAATATTTTAAAAAAATAAAAATTAATTGAATGATAATCTTTATAAGAAATGACAGATTGAAGAAATAAATTTTAAACAATAAAAATAATATAATCTAAAATATATATTTATTTTAAAATATAAAAATAGATTATATATATTTATTTCTTGTAAGACTGCGCGAGAACAAAAAAAAAAGCATTTGATATTCTAAAATATTCACCTAAAATCTTTAGAAAAAAATTGAAAAAAACAAAACCCAGCTAATAACCAAGCTCGCATGCTTGGGCATGGAGGAGCAAACCCTATCATGAATTTTTTTTTAAAAAATACAATTTCTATCGAGTCGGTGTTCGTCAAAAACATTGCCGTAAATTTGTATTTTTGGTTTTCAGCTTCTCCAAAGCCAAATTCTATCCTAATTTTTTTTTCAAAACCAACTTAAAATCACATAAATAATGTCAAAAATAGTTATTTTAGAGTCTCAAAATTCATTTTTAATGCACACAAAACTCGTAAAAATTCAAATCAAACTAAAAAAACTCAAAATATTTTCGGATCATGACTTAACTCCTCAAACCATTTTATGGCTCTTAATCACCATCAACATATTCTATTCTTGAAGACGAATAAATTAGTGATAATATCGATGATTGATGTGACGAGAATGACCCTTGCTTCTCTCTCGTCTTTATGCCCCCTCCCCCTTTTCTTCTCTCTCCTATAAGCATTCATGGACCATATGACGATACGAATAAACTTTGGGATTGATTTTTTTACTAAAAACATGAGAGACTAAAGTGCAAAGATATCAATAAACAATAAAAATAAACAATAGAATTGAGTGACGAGTGAATAGTGCAATTGAGTATGATGAATTAGAATTCTCTTTTTAATTTTTTGGTTAATAGAACTCTACAATCCGTAATTATTTAGTAGGAAGTCAATAATTAATTTTAATAGTTAATAGTTAATAAAATAGAATAAAAAATTTGTATTATTAGGATGTATTGAATTTACAATCACTATAAAAAAATGAAAAATTAATTCTAAACTCGAACATTGTTAATAATTTATTATAAAGTAAGCTAGATGTTCATCATAGAGTTCGATCAAGAGCACAGTTGTTCAAGAATTCCTCACCTATGCAACAACAATAAATTAAATGGGTCTTGAGTCGTGGATATTATACATGTACATTATTTCCAATCCAATAAAATATGAAATTATTAACGACTATATATATTACTTGTACTATTTTCATGCGATCGATGTGAATATAATGATAGATAAATTATAAATTACTCCCTCTTGTTTTGAGAAATGAATTAATTAGTCATTTTGATTTCAAAAAATATTTTTTTAATTTTTTAATCGAGTCTTGATCATGACTAATTTATTTTTTTATTTTCTAAAATGTCTTATTCTCTTATCAATCTTTTTTTATATATTTTTATATTTTTTATTTGTTTTCTATTTCTTAAAATAAAAAATTAAAAATAGCAAAAATGACAAAAAAATAATTTTTAAATATAATGGACTAATTAATTTGTTTGCCTAAGAAAGAAGCATTAATTTATAATATACTCTTTCAGGCTCCTGTCCTCTCATGAAAATAAGGAGGAAAAAAGAATGCAATCACGCGAGCATTAAATTCTTTATAATGACGACAAAAATGCTAAAAGAGAAATAAGAAAGAGAGAATCAGTCAAGAGTAAATGTGAATTTTCACAAATCCATTAAG